CCGTTTGATGGGTTCCTGGCCTGATCATCCAGGGGCCCCGGCTGTTGAGCTGGCTCTCGTCAGAGTCCAGTTTTTCCTCATCTGCTCATAGGGAAGAATTATGCCTGCTTCTCTCCTGCACTAAGGTGGTAGGAAATCAACCGCAAGTGCGTCTGGGAGCCTCTAGTGGCATTTACAGTGCTGAACAAATGGTTATTACTACTTGGTTATTAATTAAGCTGAGTTTTTAAAGTATTTATAACTAGCATTTCAAAAGATGCCTGAGACACCCTAAGTTACTTAACCTTCATTAAGATTTACATTTTTCTCAAGCTCAACTCATCAGATGATTTAAAGGCCTAATATTTTCCAACCAGATTATTTGCATTAGTCCATAATAGATTTCTTTGTGTACCTTTACTCTGCCTGACTCCCAGAAATTAAATCAGAGGAGAGGATGCGAGTTTAGAAGAATACACTGATGAATAATTTGCATCTGTGTGTTTTCCCTAAGGAAAACAAGCATAGGACAACACACACAAATGTGCCGGTTTGGCTGAAGTACAAACTGAGGTCCGAAGCAGACACAGGTTGCCCATGTAATGACCACCGTGATGCACCGTTGTGGCTTCACAAGGAGCAACGGCTTTGGACGCTGCGGGGAGGGTGGGAGCCCCGCCTGCGCGTGTTTCCTTTGCGTTGGACCAGGAGCCTGGACAGGCCTAGGCTGCACGTTCTCTCCTCACTGGCCGTGTGCCTGTGAGCATGTGTTACACAGGTATAGGAGGGTCGTCATGTTTTGATCAGTGTGTAAAATGTATTTTTGCTGGAGCTGAGTCCCCACTGTGGTATAGTAATATCTGGAAGATGCTGTATAGTGTGGTACTAACCTGGGTTGACATGCTCAGAGCAAGACAGCTGGAGCTTAGCGTAGTGTCCAATCAGGACCAAAGAGACAGTGTGTGACTGTTTAGTCCTTCATCTATTAATTCATTTATTCAGCAAATATAGAATGCCTGTGATGTTCTAGACGTTGCATGATAGTAGGGGAGATAAGCAGACAATATCCCTACCCTTGTGAAGTTTATGTTGTGCAAGGCAAGAGTGACATTAAATATGCTGTTTAAATGAACAAACAGGATATCTACATAATTGTGTGTTGAGAGGGCAATAAAAGCAATAAAGAGGAGATAAGGTCTCTCAGTCAAAGAGGTCACTCTGAAGATGTCGCATTTGAACTAAGACATCACCATATGCATTAGTCAGGCAATGTCAAGGACAGAAATGTACCAGGTGGAGGGAACAGCAAGTACAAAGGCCCACAGACTACAAACGGCTTGGCGTATTTGAACAACAGAAGGGAGGCCCTGAGCAAGAGGGAGAATGGTATGACTTGACTTTGGGCAGTTTAGATGGGGACTGGATCACATAGGACTTAGTCAGCATTGTTTCTCACCCGGCTGCTGACGTAGCCTGTGGCTGAAATGACAGTGGCTTGGACTGGAGTCAACACAATGAGAACAAGATAACTGAAGGGGTTTAAGTTGTATTTTAGAAGTAAGAGTGACAGAATTTAATGATAGCTTGACTATCAGGTATGAGGAAAAGATAAAAACCAAGGATGACTCAGAGCTTGAGCAACTGATTGGGTTGTGGTGCCATTTTCTGATGCTTAAAAATTACGTAACTTGCCAGAGTTCACTCATCGAGGACATTGAAGTCTAGTCTGTGTGAATTCACTTTTTTAACTTTTTTTTCTGTCTGTGACATGAAGTTATTAGGTTAAATAAATTTCCAAGATATCTTCCAGATTGGCAATTAAGTTCCCATCTAAGTTAAATTGTCCATATAGAAATATCCTGAGGTTCAGAATTAAGTAATATTGTTAGATCCTAGTATTTTTTGATCAATAGTACTATGATGGAGTAAGTCTTTTGTCTCAAAACTAGTCGCCAGAATCTTGGGAGTGTTTTTTTCTGATGCGTACAAAAGAAAAAGCAATTCTGTCCATTTTTTCATGGGCACAGTATTTTCCTGGAGTTTCTCAGCAACAAGATAGTTGGTTCTGTGAAGTAAAATTAGATTGTAAACCATCTCTTCTAATCCCAAGCTAAGACTGCAGAGCCCAAACAATAACTTGCTTATAGTAAAGCACCCTGGTTTGCTTTATAACATGCTTGGGCCTCCAGCCAGTATGTAGGCAGGTTTCTATAGAAGAAAATGATGACATGCCTGCAACTCTAATTCTACCATCTTGGGCTCACCCATTTGGGCCAGGTCTAAGATTCTCTTGTTAACATAGTCAGTCCCACTTTCTTAAAGCAGTACAGTCCTGGAATCCAAGTCATGAAGTAGATCTTATTTACCTAGAAAAACAATGGGATTGTGTTCTTGACGAAGGAATTGGCAGGCCTCAAATCTCAAGTATATCCAATACACGAGTAGAGCAAAATGGCCACACTCTAAATCTCTCATCAGTAAGCCTGTTATTAGACAATAAGCCCCTGAATTGGTTAGCATACTTCAAGGAACAAAAAAATCCAACTTATGAAGCCTGAAGCAGCAAAGGCCTTTACTGTCTCACAGAACAAGAATAGGGCTGGTCCAGGCTGGCTCAGCAGTTCTGCGCTGTCTTGGGGACTCGGACTCTTTCCCCCTCTGTCTCCTCCTTGGCACAGTGCCTTGACCCTGAAGCACAGCCCCTCATAACTGTAAGATGACGGCTGCCACAGTTCTGGGACATACATGAGCCAGCACCTGGCCAAGGAAGTGTGACATTTTCTGCATCGTGTCTCTTTTAGGGAGAAAGAAAGCCCTTCCCAGAAGCCCCAAGCAGACATCCCCTAAGTCCTTGTCCATGGAGCACCCAGTTCCCCCCATCTGGACCCCAGGACATTACTTAGGGTCCTTTATTTCCTTGATTCTCTGTGACCTACCCATTCTGGTTTTAAATAACCTGTCCCCTACCCTCTATCCCTGTGTTTACTACATTAATTCAGATCCTCATTAACTCTACCTGTTCTCCCTGCTTCCGGTTTATCTTCTGCAATGCCACTGAAATGATCTTTAAAACACAAATCTTACCATGTCACTATCCTTCTTAAAACCCTTCGGTGGTTCTTATTAACATTTACGAGTAAATTTCCATTTTTTTCCAGCTATAAGAATGACCTCTCCCCCTTTTAAAAAAAATATCCTACATGGTAGCTCAACGCAGCTAACGATGGTTGGAGAGCTGCTATGGCTGAAATGGGGCTGAGGAAGGGGCTCATAGCTCATCCAGGTGGATCCCTCTGCTTCCCTTACATGGAGACCCCAAAGCCTTTGCCTGGATCCTCTAGTGCAGGCGAATGGCAACACCTATGAGCAGTTGATACAGACTTCAGGAGTGTCAGCCAGGCTGGCAGCACAGCCTTAGGTGGTGGTGGAAGCGAAGGTCAGAACACAACTCTCTCAAGGTGTGCAGTGAAAAGGGAAGAGGGCCTGATAGAGACGGCTCCAGGAGTTATACTGACATAATGCCCCCAGGTCATGTGACATTCAGTAACATAACGTTTCTATTTCACCTTTCAAGCTCTAAGAACTTATAGGAGGAGAATTTATGTTCTGGTTGCATTACACAAGCTTATCCAATCAGATGCTTGAGGACAAAGTGGGATGGTTGAAGACCAAAATGCAACTAATGTCAAAAACTGAGACTATTTGTAATTGTGCAACATGTTCTTTGTTACATTTTCATTCTTACACCTTTTCTTAAGGTAAAAGATTTATGATTTGGTTTTATAATCCCTAAGATGAGTCTTTTTTCCTTTCACAAGGCTTTACATACCACAAATCCCGAGTTAACTGACATTTCTTGGCGTTTCCATATCCGATCAAGGCAGTTTTGGGTTAAACAGGCTTAAGTATGGAATTTCACATAGAACTATAAAAACTGGATATGCTAATTATTCTCCCTGCTCTTGATATCAACCTGTATTTATTCTTTATGTCTATATAAGAATTCAGTCTTTTTGTTGTTCTATGAAGACTAAAGAGCTGTTTAGACGCAGGTTTCATTCTGTTATGGAATACGACCTTCTTAATGAGAAGGTTAAATGTTAATGAAGACTAATTGATGAATAATTTTAACAAGGAAAGCCATTATCAGTTTGAAGCAAGAGTGTAAAGGGTTGTGCCTTCGGCAGGTGTTTGACACTTGGCGACATGGTCAGAAAGGAGGGAGGAGAAAGAAAAGCTGGACAGAGGGCTCCAGGCTGGTAATGAGGGCAGCCTCCAGCCAGACCGACCGTCCAACTCTATCTGCTTTAATCCATCCTCATGCCAAGAAGGGTTTGAGGAGAACGAGTCCTTTTGTGTTACTTCCCAGGCAAACAGGCCTACAGTGTCACTTCCAGTCTGACTCTGACTACCTCCTGTTTACCGAAGCCTGGTTTCTGTCATGACAGCAGGTTCCTCTGCTTCTGTCTTTATGGCCTCCCCCATCACACCCTGCAGCCAAGCTGTTTCTGACTTCCAGTCTTTGCAGTCAGACTGTATAGGAAAGTTGGTCCAGGCGGCTCCCTTATGGCTCTAGGTGGCTCCAGATGGCTCCATGGGACCTGGCTGCTGACATCTGTCATTTACTGGCTATTCCAGGCCCTCCCGCCAAGAAGCCCACCCTACCCCCATCCTCCCCACTTTTAACTGGGACTTCACAGAAACTCAGCACCAATGAGAAGCAGAAAATATGGATCAATTGTCTGAGCTTCAAACGATTTCGATTCTCTCCTAATCCTTTTAAATGTGATATGTGTTTAAATTAAGAGTAGCAGAAACAAAAATTATTTGGGAAAATGATAATGTTATCCTAGCCTATTTCAGTGACATTCTAACAAGGTTAAGAAAATTGACTGTCAGATTTGATCAGTGTTGTTGATGTGAGCAGCCCTCATTCCTGGCATGGCTGAAGTGAAAGTCTCACCCAGCAGGAGCAGTTTTAATGACTGAAGAATGCATTGCCTCTCTCTTCTGTGTTTCAGGTACCACGTGTTTGATTGCTCTACTATCAGATAAAGACCTCACCGTGGCCAACGTGGGTGACTCACGTGGGGTCCTATGTGACAAGGACGGGAACGCCATTCCTTTATCTCATGATCACAAGCCTTACCAACTGAAGGAAAGAAAGAGGATAAAGAGAGCTGGTGAGCTTGTGACCGCCTCTGAGCGCTGTCTGCAGTCTCCTTTGGTGGACGAGGAGGCCGCTGGGGAATAAGATGTTCAGTCACTTGATTAGTAGATCAACACGGAGGCTGCTGCTGAGGTAGCTGAGACTGGACTTTGTGCCATTTCCTATCAAATAAACAGCCACTGAACTTGCCCTTAGTGGCCAAGGACTCCAAAAGGGCCAAAAAAGCCCTTTACTAGTTTTAAGGCTAATGAGATCTTTGGGCCCCTGCTTGATATACCTCGCTTCCCTCCAGCCATTCCCCAAAGGAACCATGTTTCTGATTCCTCTGTGTTTCTGCAAAGTGTTGTCCTCACTGTCTAGTGGATAACAATCCCTTATCCTGTAAAACCTGGCTTAAGGGTGTCCGTTTGGAAGCCTTCCTGTCTCACTGTGCCACAGGCTCCCCCAGTCTGGGTTAAGTACCCCTTCGGCCTTTCCCCAGCATCCTATGTGGACCTCTTGTGTCTCCCCTCACAATGTATGGACATCCCTGGCTCTCTTATCTGTCTTGCCTTCCCAACTGTGAGCTCTTTGAGGCAGGAATTTGGTCTGTTCATTTCTAGACTCCCAGCACCTAGCTCAATGCCTAGTATAAGTAAATATTTGGTGTATGTGGTGGTGGGGTGGGGGGGAGTCCCTTTTTGTTTCATATTTTTTAACAGCTTGGGGCTGGGAATATAAACTTACATTCTGGAGTTGGAATGGGAGTGGGGAATGTAGTAGACAGACAGACAGACATTAACAAAGAAGTAAAACATCTAGTATATTACAAGGTGATAGCTGCTATGGAGAGACAAAAAGCAAGTAAGGGAATGGGGAGTGTTAGGGGTGGTCAACGAAGACCTCACTGAAGTGTCCCTGGGACAAAGCGTTGAAGGAAGATTATCAGCTGATGGTTGCATTGTTATAATTTGATTTGGGGGAGATTCTCTTATATCTGTGGAAGTGAGCAGCCCTTCCCTTCCCTCTCCAGACTGACAATGGCAGCATGGAGGCTCTGTATGACCTTCCAGGCAGCTGGCCCAGCTGCCGGAGGGTAGTTTATATGCCCTGGGTCTCTGACCAGGATGGGCCCCTGCTGCCTGTGGCAATCTGCAGGTTGACCCTCAGTCTCTACAGGTCAGCGTCTGCCCAGAACCTAATCAACATCTGAGTTTACACAGTAGGAAGCTGTACTGTTGAGTTCAAAAGTGTTGAATTTTATTACACCTTCCTGCTTCAGTGACTGCTTCAGATGCAGAATAATTTTTAATGAAAGCTTTGGTCAGGATTTCTGTTAATGGGATGGACCAAACAATGTTTCAGGAGCATCTATCAAGCTCCGATGAACTGCAGACAGTGTGAGCGTAATACTCTGGCTTCCTTACTTACAAAGATACCATCTCCTCAGAAGTCTGCTGTGACCCTGAACTTAAGATACAGTTAGCCTACTCTTGTGTAAGCACAGGCAAGGAAGGGTGTGTGTACGATACTCCTGGACATGTTATCTTAGCACCTAGTGCTCTCTTCTGAAACATCACTCCATTTTATCCTCCTTCCTGTTTTGTGCCATACACACCACCCGTGCAGGCAAATTCGCACACCATGTCAGAGGAACTTAACCCAGCCTGCTGTGTCCCGGGGCTTAAGGGACGATGATCGGTTGATTATGTGTATTTTCTCTGACCTCAGCCTTCCTTTTGGGACATCTATGCCCCGTCCTGCTTTGTGTGGCAGTTTGCTGCACCCAGTCTGGGCCAAATACATGTTGGTCTTTCTGTCTCCATTCCTGAGACGTTTCCAACAACAACAGTAATACCAGCTGCCATCTGTCGTGTGCTCCTTCTTTACTGGGAGCCGGGCCTAGCGATTTACACACACTTTCTCTTCCCCGACCTTATGAGGTTGATAATGTTATCCTCGTTTTACAACCAAGAAACTGGAGCCCCCGAGAAGCTGTGTGCCCAAGGACACATCGCTAGTGAGAGGCCAGAATTGAGACCCAGGACTGCGTGGCCCCAGACCCCGTGCTCTTACCCATCCTGCCACACTTCCTGGAACGTTCTCATACATCCCTGCCCACAGAAGTCCTACCCATCCTCACAGCCCACCTTTAATGCTCACTCCTCCCTGGTCATCACAACCGGAAATCACCCGTCCCTCCCCCATCAGTCTATAGCATTTAGCGGGTACTAGGCTGTCCCTGGAAGAATACTTTTTTGTGTTTGCAGCTGTTAATACATGTGGCTTTTCATTCCTGCCAGACTGTCCACTTCTTTAGTGAAAAGTCTGGACCTAGTATAACGTTATAGCCTGCAAGTCACCTTGCATGGAGTATATATTTAATAACTATCTGACAAGCAATATATGAATGAACACATATCTAACTACCTTAAAAAAATAGATACCATTGAGTGCATATTATATTCAGACACTGTGCTAAGTGATTTATATGAAATAACTCCTTTTCAACAACAACTCAGTGGAATAGGTACTCTTATTGTCCCCATTCTGCAGCCAAGGAAACTGGGGATCAGAGAGATAGAGTTTCTCATGCAAAGTCACACATAGCTAGAAGTAATAGAAGTAGGAATCACATCCAAGCAGTCTGACCCGAGACCCCGAGCCTTGAAGTACTGGCTCAAATATATAGTTCTTTAATCCTGATCCTGTTTGGGGTGCTGTTTTGAGATCTGCATAGGCCACCCAAGGGCAGCCTTGAGCTAAATGATGGATCTCAGAGCTTGTCTCTGGGCCCCAGCATGCCACCTGCCTTGCAGCACTCTTTTGCTGCTCTCCTTGAATCCCCACACTAGTGCTCCCCACTGTCAATCACTGAGCTGTCAAGGTATTGTCAAGTTAAAACCGATGTCCTCATCCATACATATGTCCTACCCTGAATATTTGTATTGATATTGTCTTGAAGTCTTTTACGACACCAGGCATGAGGGCATGAGGATCTACTGGTAGAATATCAAACCTCAATGCAGCAGGAGTGCTGTTCCTTACTGGCAGTCCCAGGGTAGGGTGACAGGAGCACATGAAATATGTCACATGTAATAGGTTGGCCTTTTGTACGCATGCCCAGGCTGTACCAGGTGTGCAAGATACCAGTTGGTTGAGCTAATGGGCTCATTCTCTTTCCAGGTGGTTTCATCAGTTTCAATGGCTCCTGGAGGGTCCAGGGAATCCTGGCCATGTCTCGATCCCTGGGGGATTATCCGCTGAAAAATCTCAACGTGGTCATCCCAGACCCAGATATCCTGACCTTTGACCTGGACAAGCTCCAGCCCGAGTTCATGATCTTGGCATCAGATGGCCTCTGGGATGCTTTCAGCAATGAAGAAGCCGTTCGATTCATCAAGGAGCGCTTGGATGAACCTCACTTTGGGGCCAAGAGCATAGTTTTACAGTCATTTTACAGAGGCTGCCCTGACAATATAACAGTCATGGTGGTGAAGTTCAGGAATAGCAGCAAAACAGAAGAGCAGTGAGCCCTTCGGGGTCTTAGCTGCCTTAGACTAAAGGACTTTCAACACATTGGTCTCTTTTAAGGTAGTGAAACGTGTGGAAGTTAAGTTAGGGTCATCCATCCCAGATATGGGATCCTCTCCCTGGTGGTCTTAGGTCTGCAGTGATGATGGAGAGAGGGCACTCTTGGTCGAAACAGTTGGGAGGCTGGAAAAAGCTTTCTTCATGTTTCCCAACTCTTTCGTCCAGTGTTCAAAATCTATAAATATGTAGTTGTAGATTCACATGTATGAAGTCGAATGGCATATGCGCCATCTATTCTCCCTTTTAAGATTCTTTTCTAGGCCCCCTCCCAGGGTCCTTCAGGCATCAGGCTCTGTGTGCTCTATTTGGAGCAGTGACCAGGACAGGCCTCCCCGAGCTGCAGGAGACAGGCCGTGGCATCCCCTGTTAATCAGGGCCCATGCGACAGGGCCCTTTGCTGAGGGCACAGCTGTCCTGAGAAGGCTCTGTCCTCCTAAGCCCAGGTTTTCTCCTTAGCAGCAGCCCAGAAACAGATTGGGAATGATCTGTTATTCCGAGGCTGCTCCTGGAGACTGAGGGAGCCCGGAGGATGACAGCCGCCTGCGCCGCGGAAACAACCGTTTTCTCTCGCTCCTTTATTAGCGCAATAGACTTTGTGTGTCACCTGACTAGTCTTTGTGTGTTTATCCTAATCGTGCATGACCTTAACCTTTTGCTTACACCTTACCTTATGTAATAGGCAGCTGTTAAACATCACTACCAGACACGATTTTTTGTCTTTCATTTCCAAGGAACCTGTTAGCGGAAGTGAAAAAAGCAAATCACAATATTGTAATTCCTTCCATCTTTAAGGGTAGATAGAGGAAAATAATGACTGAATAAGTCACAGTGTCCCTTGGGAAGGCTGTTGTTTGCATTGGGAGAGAAAGCTGGTGAGGTTACCACCCTGCACTGAGCTTCAGCTGTGTGTGTGTGTGTGTGTGTGTGTGTGTGTGTGTGTGTCCTCTCCTACCCTAGTAGCTTTCAAGTGTTTTTCAAGCAGTGTTCTGAGAAGCGGCATCCTAAAACTGCATGTGTGTTCCTTGAAGCTGAGGACAGAGATCCCAGCCACATTTTGAAACTTGGCGGTAAACTGCTGGGATGTGCATGACCTCCCAATGGAAAAGCAGCAGCCTTTAACATCTGGCTGCAAATCACCATCCACAGCGGGTAGCTTTCCCCCAGCAAACCATTCAGGGGCAACCGAGCAGGTTGATTGGAAATTCCGGCTCACACCTGCATTGTTAAGCGGCTCAGAGCTCTTTGGGGGCCAGGCTTGCTGCTGTCCATTTCCTATCGCCAGAGTCATGTTTCCAGTCTCATATTTTGTAAGTTAATTGACAGAAACTGCTAGGTCATCCTGTTTGCCTGACTAAAGTGGCTCAAACAGCCAAGCAAGATTTTCGTCATGTTCCTGGTCCTCTGTGTCTGAAATGCAGGGTGTCCGCCTAGTTATGCTTTTTCTGAGTGGGCATTTGTCGTTACAGCTTCTCAAAAGCCACATTCATCGGCCACCCCCTGCCTTTCTTCAGCTTGGAGCTTCGCTGAAGCAGGTTCTAGGAGAGAACTGGGACGCTGAAAAGCTTTCCCTCTGGCTACCAAGTACTGCAGTCTCCTTCAGTTCCTTGGAGCACTGAACCTTTCTTTGACCGCAATGAGTTAATAATGATGTCCCAAGGGTTTGCTTATGTTTGTAAACTGTAACATAAAATTTCCAACATTAGAATTAGAACCTTGGTTATTTATCTTTTTTAGCTATGGAATGTTCTAGTACAAAATATCTACCACCATTTTAGACTGAGGTGTTTGTCGGTTGAGAGGCACTGAACATTTGGATTGTATGTATTTGGGGTGGGGTCGGGAGGGGAATGTGGGAAGCCTGCTGGCTGTGGTCAGTGATGGGACAGTCAGGCCAGGTGGCCTGAGTTTGCATGGAGATTTAGGACCTTCTGTCTTGAGAGTTCCCAAAGCCCCCCCATCTAACTGAAGTTCAGGAAGAAGCGATTTCAGCATTTTACGGCACACAGACAATTTTTTTTTCTTTTTAACTTAACCCCAAAATTCACAATAACAAGGAAAAGACATTTTAAAATTCCATGATTCTTGTTTTTGTCTAAAATGAAAATAAGTAATGTTTAGCTAAAGATGAAAAAGAAAATACTGAATTAGTAAATTAGTGTTTATTTGCCCTACAAAATAATAGACAGTGCTGAGTGTAGGATTGCATGACTTTCTCTCTAATTGAGGTTTGTTCACAAGACATCTTCTAAATTTTGCTGTGGAGAATTTATTCCTTTCTGACTTTAACCAAGTAATGTGTGTACGTCCTCTTCCCTTTCTGCCTCTTTTCCTCCCACCTTGGCTTGTAGATTTTTAAAAGATAGACGTTCTAGGCAAAATAGTAGCAGTTTGATTAATACCTGAGTCTAAAATTCGAGTACTTGGCCCTTTCCCCTGCCCTGGATCTCTCGCCCTGACCCTCCTGCAGCTGTTGGGGGTCTGTAGACATCACCCCCGGATGCCCGGTGGATCCCAGCTGCTCCCGTGTTTTCCAGAAACAGGGCAAGTTGAATCTAGCTATTAGGAAAATGGATTGAAGAAGTCTGCATGTGAAGCTTCCTGAAACAGCACTGCCAAAGCTTTGGACTTGTCACCCGAGGCTGCCCAGACCTCCTAGCCCGAGTTCGTGTTGCCAATAGCCCCCATGGTGCCAAATTTGGGATGTTTTTACAGACTTTTAGAAACAAAGCAGGGAACGAATGACCCGTGTCTGAGCCTGCAGTGAGATGCCACACCCAGGGCCCGCCCGGTTAGTGCACGACTGCTGCTGCTGCTGCGCTGGTAATCTGCACGCTTCCAAGGGGGTGGGACTGTGGGGTGGGGGGAAGGCAGGGACTTTTTTTTATAATTCATTGTATTTGTAATTCTCTAATCAAAGAAATAAACAATACCTACATAGAAAATTCCAGAGCTAGCTCCCAAGACCTGCGTTTATTTTCTGTGACCAGTTAGCCCAAGGCACTTAACTCTGAAGTGGCTGGTCCAATACGCATATGTACACATCACTGGCCACCAGTGGCTACAGTCTATTCCTGCCTTAGATAGAAGGTATTGGCTTCTTGAGTCTTGTCTATATAATAAGCGTATTACAGAGAGTTTCATAGTGTGAAGGAGCATATGCAACCTGGATCATTAAAACAGGCCTGATTTTATACAACTCTAATGATTTCAACCCAGGTACATTTTCTGCAAATGGGATTGTGTGAGAGTGGTGACATTATCGTTTCAATCCTATCTGAAGCCATTCTAGGAAATTGAATACACTATTGAATTGGATCACTGGGATATCTGACAACATATGAGGGATTCACAAAGTCAGTGCTCACTCCTTTCTTTGCCAGGTGTACCTCGATTTTTCTCATTTTTTCCCTTGAGTTGTTGCCAGATCAAACTCTTTTGGAACAGTGTCAATACAGAAGGTTTAGAAAGGGTAACAATTCATTGTACATTTGAAAATATAGGAAATACATACTCTAGATATTATTTCCAATGATTTCAGAAAAGTATTTCCTCGTTTTGACCCATCATGAGACTGATCTCCCCTTAATGTTACCCCCAATTGCCTTAGCTCGTCACACCAGCACTCCTGACCCAGAAATGACACGACTGTTACCATGCTGGGGTCTATTTAACTGTCTCTAGATTTAGTTGCTGAGATCTAGACTTTTGAGCTAGTTAGCTGCACACTACAGGAGGAATCGAATCCCAGTGTTCCCCAAAGTCTGCTTTACAGAACACAAGATCCAAAGATACTCTTCCAAATACAGGGTTTCAGGGTCAAATGACTTTGGAAAACATACTATCTTTGAAAGGTGGTATGTATAAGCCCATTGAAGGTTCCAATTTAAATGTCCTGCAGAGGAGAAGAAACACATCACAGATGAATTGCAGTTAACTGAGTGTTTTGCAGATGAATTGGACCACAGAAACTTTTTTGAGTGACACCTAGTAACATTCCAAAGAGCATGTGTTCCACAGAATCCACTTTGGGAAATTCTGGTATGTGGAAATATTACTGTTTTTCTCATTTACTATGACTCTTTGTCATAGCAGTACAATCTTGCAGTTTAGAAGCACTAGTCCATTCAAGGAAGAAGCTGACCTGATAATGAAAGCAGTGTTAAGAAATAGTATGATTTAATATGACCATCAACAGCCTTGCATTGATAGCAGAAGCCTGACTACCCTACATGAAGCTCTAACCACTGTTTCCCTTATTTTATGTGAATAATAAGCAAGAGCGTTACCATAACTAGGGATTTCTCAAATTCATATCAAGAGCTTTCAGTTGCTTCTTTGAATTTATCTTGGCATTCCAGATTGAATCAAAATAAATATTTTTACATTTCATCACTATGTGAGAGTAAAAAATTTTTTAAAAATTAAAAATAATAGAAAATGGGGGGAAGTTATATTTCGTTTTAAAATTTTTAACTAGATTTTAAAATTCATGTATCCATTGTATAACACAAATGTAAACTATTAACACTTATTTACTCCCTTTCCTGTGTGTTTTTGTTTTTCTGGATTGAATGAAATAATTTAAAATCAATCAAAGCTCATTTCTTCTAAAACCCATCCCTTGCCATCACACCTTTCACATTGTGTATGTAGAATGAAGTTTGGCACGTTATCTCTTGTCTAAAATGTCAGGCTTGACTCTAGTTAAATAGTCATCACTCCCAGCTTGGGCAGTGGGTTTAGGAAACTGAGAGATAATCCCCAAATAATGAATGAGACGAATCTAGTTGAAAACATGGTACAAAGTGATTTTGGGTGAAGTCATTTTCTTAAAATTACATCCAATGTTTAGGAATACACCCACCCTCTGGATGTTATCCCAAATAGTAAAAAACGGAAAGTAAAATCACTTAGACTAGGTGGCAGATTACAAAGGGCAAGTGACAGTTGACACCATAATGCTTCCATTAGATATGTGCTTCTAAACATGTTTTCTAATAAGTAAATTTTTGCTAATTCTTAATAATGTTGATGCTTTGTTCATTTTTTATTTTTACCATTGTTAAGGGGCAAACTGTTTAACCAAGGGTTGGTTATGATAATTTTTATGTGTTTAGTGATAACCACACCATCATTTGTACAATCACTTTAATAAATCCAAGTTAAGGACTTTGAAGAGAGAATGTAGTAACTGTTCATTTTAACAAATCATCATAGGGATTTTCACAATTCAAAACTCGACCAAAAAGCAAGCAAGCAGCAAAGATGTAGATTATATTTAGAGATGTGGTTCCATTTATTCTACAAGTCCTATAATCTGGCATGACTGAAACACAGAATGCCCTCTGATACTTGCCAAATCCAAATGAATCTCAAAAACCTCCAGGGACCAGAGAGAGTCCCTAGCTCTGAACAAAGCAGCTTACTGTGAAGGCTCAGGTGGCAGATTGTGGTAGGGTCGGGTTAGGGGGTGGGACAGTCTCCCTAGGTCACTGGCTGTGTCTGCAGGAAGGCGGGGTGGGGGGGTGATGTCAGCCACAGTCATCACCTTTTGTCATGAGGAAATTCAGAGGGTAAATGTGATGTCATGCATTATCTCAACATATTTCTAGATGAATTAGACAATGCATAATTTAAAATGTGTTCATGCAGAGGCCAAGGTAGAAGTAATAGTCAAGCGCCTGGGGGGAAAAAACCTTTAGATACCCAGACATTAAAAATGTAAAATGTAGGTTACCTAAAATTTGGATTACCAGACTTTTACCATGCACATGTTTTATTTAATCGTGGTTTTTTACATCAGCATAGATCAGTCGAAGGCAGTTGTCCCCACTCTTCACCTATACAAATGTAAGGCTTCCTACTTAGAGTATTGATATCAGTTTTATATTTTAAACAAGGATAGCAACATCTATTTTCTTCACGGCAAAGCGAAACTAAATATCAGACTTTTATTTTTAACCACAGAACTCATCACTGCTTTCTAAATTCTTTGCCTAGTCATCTTTTCCCCCAGACATCTCTATTTATGCCAATTGCTTCTTTACCCAAGAAGTATTTGTTATTGCCAAATTATATTAGGTTCCTTTTGAATTAGAATAATAGAGGGTGAATGAGAAGAGATTGAGAATGTCTCGTGATCAGAAGTGGAGTTTTTGTTGTTATGTTTTTAAGTGTGAGAACAAATAAAAGGAAATTCAAATTAAGTCAAGACAATGCTGATTTGGTAAGATTAAAACCATAGGTGGAGCCCAATTTTTAAGGAAGGAAAGGAGGGTTGAAGAGAATAAGAGATAAAAAAACCCCACATAGTTGAGTAGTGTTTTTATTAATGGTGTATCTCAAATGTTCTGATGTCTTTGCCTGCTGAATTTTGAAAAAGTAACTTTGTATAAGCTTTTACTATACCTATTCCAACACCATAAAATTTTTACATTAGCATTTTCTTGCTATTTTAAAAATCACAAGAGGCTGTTTGTTTATAAAAAGATACCAGGACCCATAATTTATTAGACAATGCTTTCTTTTAGGGATCTGCTAATTGTGTTTTTTTTTTTTTTTAGCTGAGCCATCCTGCTACCATGCTAATTGTGTTTAATAATTAAATCACAGATCAAAATGACTACTCAAATTAATCAGGCTTTCTGTTAAGTTAGTCTCTGAAAACTATCCATAATAAATACAATGGAATCTTGGCAAAACTGCATTCCTCTTGTTACTGCGGAGGTTTTTATACCTACTATTCTACATTTGTCTCTAAGAGACATTTGAAACAAAGTTGAAATGTCGATTTGGCATAGAGCCCAGAATATATGGCAGTGCACTGTCATGCAAGATGCAGTGTGTCATTCAGGTCCTTCTGATGTGTGCTAGGGGTAGATTTAGCCTTGTAGAGACTGATGTGTTCATGAAATCACTGATTCTCTGTTGTACACAAGATGAACAGCTAAAAATTCATCCTTAACGAGATTAAAGCAAACATAAACATATGAAAATTATTGGACTTTATACATGAGACTGTTGTTGTTTTTTTGTTTTTGTTTTTGTTTTAATTTGGTTAAACTCATTTCCCATTCTAATGTCAGCTCTGGAATTTTATAATTTCTTAATGCTTTTGAGTTAGAGTAGCTGTTGCATTTGGAGTCCAGAATTGAAAGCAAAGAAACAATTTATGGGTGGAGGATAAGACCAACGCATAACATATCAGGCATATCAGGTTCTGGAGAGGGCCCTCTTCCGGGGTGCAGACTGTGGACTTGCTGAATCCTCATGGTGGAAAAAAAGAGACCAACCCTCTGACCTCCTAACAAGGTCACTAATCCCATTCATGAAGGCTCTAACCCTCATGATCTAATTGCCTTCCTAAGGCCCCACCTCCAAAAACCATCACATTGGCCGTTAGATTTCAACATACCAATTTTGGAGGGACCCAAGCATTCAATCCATTACAGAGGGCCACAATTGGTGGAAAATTTTCTTGATGAGAAATGTTTTAATTATCTATGCATGACAATCCCCCCTCCCGCTGCCGGACCCCACCTAAACTTGGTAGCTCAAAGCAAAATTTGGAATTGCTCATGGTCCTGTGGGTTGATGGGGTTCAATTAGGAGGTTCGCCACTGGGGGCTGATGCAATTGGGGCTGGAGTTGTCTGAAGGCTCAGCTCCAAAATGAGTTCTTCACTCACATGCCTGGCGCCTCGGCCCCCTTGGCAGGAGCATGGAGAGCTGGCCTGGGAGCTCGCTCTCTCCACATGGCTGGCTGGGACTTCCTCCCAGGGTATCGGGCTCAGGATAACTGGACCTCTTCCAGAAGCGTGCATTCTAAAAGCCTGAGGTGGAAGCTGCAAGGCTTTTTTTGAAGGATATTTCATGGGGACTTTTTGTGTCCTCGTGGGGATTCACAATATATTATATGGGGAGGCAAAGTATTCTATTTGGGTATTGATGCGAGAGGAAGGCTTGCAATTTGGAGGGATCTGGATACACACAGTTCAGAACACATCACACACACATTTGCATCTCAAACTTTATTTTAAATAAATTTAGGTTCGTGACAAAAAAAGTTTTGACACACATTTTTAATGGCTGTATTATATTTCAAACTTAGGACAACACTGAAATTTAATCAATGTTCTCTTAATGTTCAACACTGATTTTTAATTTTTCTTTTTTTAAATTTTCTTTTTTAGCTGAGCCATCTTGCCACCTGTTGGCAGCTCAGTGGCAGCTCAGCTCAGGCCGGGAATCGAACCGCTAGTTGCTCAGAGCTCACACTCTTGAGCGAGCTCTTAACCAACTGAGCCACTCGGCCAGCCCCAGATTTTTAATTTCTTAAAAATTAAATAACATGGCAATGAACATCTCTAATCAATTCTTCGGAAAGATTCCTAGCAGAATTTCTGAGGCAAAGAGTATAAATATTGGAAAGGCAAACTGCCAAATTGCCTTTCAGAAACATCTAACAATTTACATACCATTTGCTGTGTTGGAAAGGCTCTCTCACCTTCAGTTAGGTCCCATAAATCAAGTATTGTCCCCTTCTTCTCCTTATGTTCTGTTTCTGTCATTCCCATAGTGGCCGTGTCCCTCCCCAGGGTGCACACCACCAGATTCACCATTTTACTAGAGAACTTCCCTCTCCCATGAAGCATTACGACTGGGTCTGAAGCTCAGAGACATCCGCCAAGGACTCAGAGAGTCTTTCCTCGCCTGGGCAGCTCCCTGCTGGTGGAGGGTGGAGGGTGGAGGGGAGGGGAGCCTTCCCACACCATAGGGAAGGGGACAGCATGGGATGGAGTGGGTTCTCTTTGGTCATGAAAGGAGCGATTTCTCATTCTGAAACTGGCCGTCACTCGGGCACTGGGGCTGGAGACTGAAAGACCCATCTTCTAACTGGACTTCAGGAGTCCTTCTCATGGGATGGACTTGGTGACCTCATTTAGGAAGGGGACAGGCCAGTTATCACCGCACAGGTGGCAGAGAAGAAACCTGTGCCGTCAGCCTGGACCCCACTGCTCCACCTCCTGGCTGGCAGAGACTGTCCCACAGAGGCCGGGAGATGGCCGGCTTGCCTCTCTTCCCCCCTCTCCACTCTTCCCAGCGTGGTGCTGAGTTCAGGCTGGAGGCAGTGGAAGTAAGGGAAGTGACGGAGGAGCAGGAGAGCAGTGCATGGAGATGGACAGCAAGCCCAGAGCCCCGGGCGAGTTGTGTCCGCGTTCAGCTTGCGTGGGCCAGGCTGACGCGGGGCTGGTGGGGCCCCGAGAACCTCAGCTTACTTCTGACTGGCAGCAGCAGCATGCCTTAAAATGGCTTCTCTAACAAGTACAAAGCGTGGATTCTCTGTGGCAGATTCTGAAATACTATTTTAGAAGCCCAGAAGCAGGTTTTCATCAATAACAAAAATCAACAGTTATACAGCATTTCCTATGTGCCAACAACCCTATGAGGTAGGCCACTTCCCACTTTTTTGTAGGCAAAGAAACTGGGGCACAAAAAAAGGTGAAGTGACTTGCTCAAGGTTTTAGAGCTAATCACCAGAGAGGCCTTGGTTCAAACCCAGGCAGCCTGCGTGGGCTTCCTAAAGAATGAGAGAGCCCATGTTAGTGTGCCTGGCATTGGGATCTGAAACGGCAAATAAATATATTCCCTACTCCAGGTCACTCAAGGGTTGCAATAATGTCATTTTACTGTGTTCTTTTGTCCTGGGTAATTGATACCCTTTCATCAAAATTGTAGGAAACAAGTGGAGGCCTGTGGCACAAAGACCCCAGCTTCTATTTGGAGCTGTCACACTGGTCATGGGCCTCGTCCCCTTCCAGAACCCTGGACTCTACATCCCTGTCCCCTACACTGCCCCAGGCGTTTCCGTAAGCAAGACCCCTAGCCCTGTGTACTGAGGACACACTTTTATTTTGAAATGTATATGCAGCAAACTGTATGACGTCATCATAGACTCCAGTGTTCTCCGCCTGGGGCCTGGCTACAGAAACGTGTCATACAAGCAACCTGCTGCTGGGGACAGCACTTGCCCACAATGGAGTCACTACCCATTCCCATTTTGCTGCTGCCCACTGGCATCTTGCACTGTAGTGTGTCCCTGTGACTTCCCCACGACATCCAGCGGCTGCACCTTTAAATCCTTTGGAGACTGCAGCTCGGCTCCTCAAAGTCCCTCTCAGTTCTGAGTCAGGGGTAATGCTTTCTGGAAATATCTGCAATTCCAATGAAGGCATTCCTCCTGGGGCCCTCCAACCTAACTCAGGGGCAGGAAGGGAACAGCAGTGGAGCTGGACCTGGAACACTTCAGTCCTGGTGTGACCAATGGCCTTGGAGAAGTTACATGGCACTCCTGAACCTCAGTGCTCTCACAGATCAGGAGTCCCCAAGCCTTTTCTTGGCAAAGACCCCTTCTATCTGTTCTTCCCTCTCAACAAACCAGCATCCATGGTTCTGCACTTACTAAATTATAACTTAGTTTCTCCATTTTATTCATCAAAAACAACTCCAATAAAGCTTGTTTAGCATCGGCTGACCATGGCTACTGTCTCAGTTGATTAAATTCTGGCCAACAGAAACATTTTTCTTAGCTTGAGCAACCTTACCTTAGGTAAATGGATTCCTCTGTTTTTGCAATATTAAAAACTGTATTAATACGTAAATTCCATGAACTCCTTCCCTATCACAGAGAAGTCTGGAAACCATGGAGCGATAATTTATAGGATCGCTCCCAGCTCTAATCTGTTTCACTACCCCTGGCTGTATTGTCCACATTCAGTACTCAAAAGACCATCCAAACACAGGGCGATGGTGTCCAACCTCGTTGTGCCCTTCTTTGTCCTTACAAGACCCATGAAATGACCCTTCCCCTGGGCACAGATTCTGCCAAGGGACTGCCCACTCCAATTATCCCGTGGCCTTCAGGGCGTTTCCCATGCTTGCTTCCATCTCCTACCAACACTCCCAACAGCACAGGACATCTATCTTGATACAGACTCCTTCAAGGTTTGGTCCCACATTAACCACACGTGACATAATCAAGGGGCTGATGGAGAGAGAGGGGGTCTCACTGAGTTAGTCTTTGGCTCACACAAAATCCAGGAGTTGGCTTGATACAAAGATTAATTCCTGGGCCGGCCGAATGGTGCATTGGTTAAGAACAGGCTTGGGATGCCAGAGGGCCCCGGTTCGGATCCCATATATGAGGGCCAGTGACACTGCCCTCTACAGCTAAGATGCTGAATAACAGCTCGATCTGGAGCTGGGCTGCCATGAGTTGCTGGCGACAGCGTAGACTGCAGCCCCTGCTGCAGTGGGTTGCCATGGGCGACTGTGTGTGGCCAGCAGCCAGCGTGAGTGGCCAATAGTCGCAGTGAGCGGCCGTCCAGAAGCCGGCGACTGATCTGCCTTGCCTGGGGAACAGCACAAAGGTGGTGCCAACTTGGGCCAGTGAAGCAACACCCTTCACAACTAGACTGAAGAACAAAAGGACAGCAACTTGTCTGTTCCCCTTCCCCCGATTCCCCAGCGCTGTTCCCATTCCCTAATTCCCCAATAAAAATCTTAAAAAAAAATTAATTCCTAGTGGATTAAAAGGTCTAAGAACCCCAAAGACAGCAGGATGGGTCTGCCACATTTCTCAGTCATCATCCTCCCCGCCCCCCCCGGCCCCGCTCAAAGCTGGCCCCCTTCCAATTCCTCTTTCTCCCTCCATCTTGCAGTAACTGCCTACCAGACCCCAAGAGAAAAGGGCTTTATCCCCAACCTCGTGGTCAGAAATACAGTTATTATAAATAGCTCAGCTCTGGCCCCTCTGCTTCTGGTGAGTTGATGGGAACATGATAATGCCAAGACTGTTTACGGGAGAGCCAAGGAAAGATTAACGAGGGTGCAGGGGCAGCCCTCTCCAGGGAGGGCCCAGAGCCCTGGCTCCAAGTGAGCCCAGAAACCTGATGCACTTGAGCCAGCCTCAAGATCGCAAATCTGAGCCCCTTTCACACCCTAGGTGTGATAGATTTTATTACTGTACACAACTATTCATTCCCTGCCCTGCAGAACAATACATTCCAGCCTGCCAAATGACTTGCATGATTTCCTGTGAGAACACACTCCCCTCCCTGGGCCTGGCATGAAACTTGCTTTGGTCAGTGGACGTATACACCAGTGTGTTTCCACCAGCTCTTTCCTCCTTCCCTCTATAAGAACTGCGTGTTCTGGTGTGTTCAGTAAGAACGGCCCTTCAGCCTGGGTCCCAAGATGTAGATACACGTAACAGGGTATAGCCAATGATTACAGGCAATGCATGCCAAGTGGCTGAAAAGAAAACATGTTATTCTTGCAGCATAATCTGGCAAAAGCTAATGTGCCAGGGGTCACAAACTCAATGCTTTCAGGCACACAAAGTTAGGAAGCGAGGCAGACAGAATATGCAAGAGGCAGACAGGAGAAAGTTAGCCTAAGGTTAAGCTCCAGTATTAAATTTTGTGATGAGTTAAAATAAAAAATGCTGTTTATGTAGTTAAACATCAGAGGCCAAGATTTTAACACCGTTGACTAATATTTTCTACCTGGAAGCTTAAGTACTAAGAAACATATAGTTAAAAACAAAAAATGACCCAACCTCTCTTAGCCACCAATCTCTAGTTGAGAAGGAATAATCTTCCGAAATTTGGCAATTATTCACATTTTACTTGTTTTTTTTTTTTTGTCTGAAACTGAAGGGAATTTTTAAAAAAATTCTTTTGCGTTAGTTTCCCAAACATCAATCAATATAAACTTCTACAAAATTGATCAAATCGAATCATACCACAAAGACAACCATCTGTCTGAAAGAAAGTGACTCCTATATGAATGGGGATTAGCAAGGGCATAGATGATGCCGAAGAGTATTTCACTTAACTGATTTTACTGTAATTGGATCAGGTCTGAGGCCAGGGAAACAAAAATAGCATTGTTACAGAGAATCATACACTATACTAGTTCTAACTGAAATTTTTTCTTATAGGAGAATATTTGTATATGACAAGCGCTAACTACATACTTTCAAGTTTACATTTTCTGCCAAAGGATCTGATCATTTGCCATCATGTAATCCAGAAAAAAAAAAAAGCATCAGTTGTCCCTTATCAGCCATAATAGAAAATGGCACAATCTCAAGAATACAAGGCAAAGGATGTTCCTCTCTGACCTCCAGCAGCAGATCCAGCAAAAGACACATGAAGAAACACATGTGCTTCCACGTGACATGACAATCAGATCTGGTTTTAGACCACACTTTAGAGCTTCTCTCTTGATGTGAAACTAGTAAGAATAGAGCGGCACAGTTTTTTGTTGTTGTTGTTTCATCTTTATTCTCAAACTGATGGTTAATGAGAAAACACATGGAGCAGATTAATGCCGTTAACTCAAATCCTTAGTCTTCTCTTTCCATCTCAAGCACTGGAAGATGATGCTCTTTTCATTATATTCTGGCTATCAGGTTCTCTCTTTTCTTTTCCACCTTTAGAGTCCTTTCCAAAAGGAAACATACTGCCTGGCATTCTATATTATTCCTAATTCACAGAGAGAAAATGACACAGATGAAGTGATACCTAAAAACATTAGGGATTATACTTTTAGAAACAAGACAATAATTCAGATCTTCTTTCTTTAATGCTTCTCTGTGTTACCATGGTAAAATATTTCTCAAAGTCGAAGAGATTACTGATATGCAATAAGGACCAAGGACATTACATTAATGGAGCTGTCAGTAATAAACTTATTGGTGAAATAACTGGAAAAAAGCTCAAACGTAAAGGGTTATTCACTATTCTGTTTACAGTATTCAAACAACCACAACATTCAAACACCCAGAAAGTTCTAAGCAATATTAAATAATAATGGATAACTCGGACATACTGCAACACCTCGAGGTACCTTCTGAATGACCAAAAACATGAAATTTTGTTTGGTGTAACTCTAGTTTTTTACACAGAACTACTATTTTTAAAAAATTGGCAATCCATGTTAAGAGATACACACAATCCTTAACTGACTAGACTGTTCAATAAATAGAGCTCCACACTGTTTTGTTGTTATGCACTAATGAACTTATAATTCAATGAAACCCTTTAAAGAAGTTCTAGTCTATAGAATGACATGTTCAAATTGTTTGGTCCTATTAAGAAAACCCTTCAAATTCCTTTATGTTTAATTCCTCCGAATATCATCTTTAAAGGGCCTGATTGATTTCTGTCCAAATATATCACAAGTGGAACCCCGGCGTCGCTAGCCTATGGGTTCTTCGTGAGTGTCAGTCCGTGTAAGCCAGCACAGCGACCTTCCCGCGAGTTTTCCACTGGAGATTTTACAGTACCAGACCTTCCACTGAGTACCCTGTCCTTCTCTAGGTTTTTAGCAGAAGGTCCAATTAATAATGACATGTGGTGTTCCTCAGCATAACCTGCCAAAATGTGATAATTTCCTTGGAAGAAAAGCCATGGGCTGCAATCACACGTCTGAGTTGACAAACATCCAAATGGATCCTATATAAAAAGAAAAGGTTTGTGTCTTCTGGAATATGAATGTCCACTTTTAATAAATTCAAACAGATCCCGACATAAACATCTTCAAACTTGATGGGTTTTACGTGACTCATCATTTCATAGATTTTTGGCACCAAATCTCTGGACATTATATAACCCAATCCACTGCAGTAGGGAGGGAACACCTTGAAGGGGTACTCCTGGTATGAAATATGGGTTTTTTGGTAAAATCCTCTATAGGAATAATTATCAATTAGAGGATAACCTGTGAAAAACTTCTCTGAGTGGTTTAAATTTAAAAGATACTTTACTAAATTGCCAGTATTGATGAAAACATCAGTGTCTGTCTTCATGATGTACTTGGCATTGGGGCAAAACTCGGTTACCCACCTGAATGCCATAATTGTTTTCAAGGTCAGGTTATTATACGTGTCTAAAAAATCTTGTCGTATTATGTCGCCATAAAGAAGGTGTTCATCCTCTAAGGACAACGCTAACACTTTGTCTTCCCTTTCACCTTGCTGGCCTAGTAAGAAAAATGTAAGAACCTCATATCCCCACCAAGACTTTTTTTCACCCCAAGTGACTCTAATGGCCTGTCTGGCTTTCACATCTGAGGGGTGTGAGGTCACCAGGATGACAAGAAATGGGTTCTGATGAGAACAGTTTGAATGCTCTCGAAGTGTGAAGCGAAAGTCTTGTCTGTAAATTGGCTCGTACTCATAGAAGTACATCCAGTTCACGCGTTCTATCACATTGTAGTGGGGCAGGCTGAGGTACCACATGACCAGGAAGCTCAGGACTGACAGCAGCAGGAGGCTCCATTTGAGGGATCTCAGCGACATCCTACTGGGGAGGGTGGTCAGGAGAGCCAGGGCCATGCACAGCCGCTCAGGAGCACGGGAGGGGAGGCTCGGGCTCTGCAAGATGGATCAAACACCCGGTGAGTAATCCACCACCCAAAACACTGTCAAATGCCATCCGATTAGCCACTCTAGAAAGAGTAGAACAAAGCTCCAAGCAAAACCCAAAATCCTGACCTAAATCTTATTCACTTTATTTAACTGTAAGCAAATGGATACCAACAACCAAAAGCATATTTTAGCCTTTTACATCAAGATAAAGGTTAAAACGTATCGTTGATTATTTTGGAAAATTAACATCTCTTGTTTGACATAAGTAACTGTTGAAATGTAATTTTGTCATGAATGACCCAAAGGGACAGAAAGAGGTGAGTAATGGGGGGTGGGGGGTTTTAAAAAACAAATCTACAAAAAAACCCTAAAACAAACAAACAAAAAGACTGCTTCTCTTCTTTACCACTATGAGAAAGAAGTAAAGGATTTAACGCAAGGAGCTATTACCAGCAACATGTCCAAATAAACCAAGGATCTTTCTCAACTGTGTGATCTGATATTGATTCTAACTAATATGGAGTAAGAAAAACTCAGTAGCTGTAATTATTCGTGGTGACTTGCTGATGTGAGATGAGATAAAGGTAGAGACTCATTAGTAGATGCGAGTCCAGTAGATGCAAACAGATGAAGCTGGAATTTTTAAATTCTCAGACTATGAAATAGCTTGTACTTGCCCCAAACATACCCCAGCCCCGCCTTTTACCTCACTGGCTGAACTCAATGCTCAGTCTGGATAGCAGGTGCTTAAATTAAAGGTTGAGGGACTTCAGAGTAAGGGACAGATCAACAACACGAGGGGCAGGCTGAGGAGACTTCTGACGGTGCCTTTTCACCCACAATCACTCGGGGAGAGGGCTCCTGGGAACCCAGAGCTTGCTATGGAGGAGGTACATTAATGTCGTCATATGGGAAGGCTGGTCGAGCAAGGGTTCTTCTACGTGTGCGCAGCCTCTGGCTGGTGTCGGCTACTCAACAAACAGAGGACAGAGGACGTCATCACCAGCTGTGTTCTACCCCTGGCATCTTTTCCATCCTGTTTGTGTCTCTAAATTGATTTTTATTATCAAAAGGGATTATTCTAAGGAAATAATCTGGATAAATTCTTACTACTTGAAAAGTAGGTTTCAAAACCATTAATCCATTTCTATTTCTTACCTTCTTCTTCTTCTTTCTTCTGAGTGAAAGACTTTTCAATTTCACCAACTGAACATTCAGTGATAAGCAGCAGTCAAAAATAACGCTTGAAAGTTCTGTAATACATATGACAGACATAACAGCATTGACATATGGGTCACAGAGGGGAAAGGATCACCGTTTCCTTCTGAACTAGGAACATGAGTTGAAATAAAAAGTTAAAAAACCAAAAACCACTGGTCCACAGAATTCAGAGTTCCTGGCTTCATCCTGGAGGAAGGGCTCTTGGTGTCCAAGACTTAACAACCTATGTCTAAGCTCCCATATGAGCTGGTGTCTCTACATCACTCTACAACAGTTCTACTTCCCCATAAGGAATGCAAGGGTCACTGTAACAAGTGAAACACAAAACTTCTAAGAGACACGGCGCTGGTATCCTCTCTTTAATATCTCTGTTCCAATAGCTGTTTTTTAAAGGGATGGCAGCAACACCTCCCACACTCCGCCGTGTGGGTGTTGGTGTGGAAGGAAGGAGGCGTGCGGTGAGAAAGGGGGACAAAGGATGAGCCAGAACTATGGTAAGATATTAGTAGTTGCTAATTCAAGGTGATGGAAATACAGGCAATCTCTTATACCGTGTTTCCCTGAAAATAAGGCCGGGTCTTATACTAATTTTTGCTCCCAAAGACGCATTTTTTTCATTTACTCATGTACAAAAATCCACATTTATTCAAATACAGTCATGTCTGACTGACGATCTTAACTGGGGCTTATGTTTGGGGTAGGGCTTATATTACGAGCATCCTGAAAATCATGCTAGGGCTTATTTTCCAGTTAGGTCTTATTTTGGGGGAAACATGGTATTTATAGTTTTGTTTGTATTTTGAATTTATTAAAAAAAAAAAAGGAAGAAAAAGCATAATAAAAATGCTTGGATATTAGACTTAGATGGCCTTCCCTACATCTTGGCTGCAACACTTAATGGCTGTGTGACCTTAGGGAAGTTATTTAACTTCATACAAGTTTCTTTTTTCAGCTACGCATCAAGCTTCACAACACCAATTCAGTTCGTTACAGGGGTGTATGGGGAGAACATGGATTCACCAGACAGCTCAGGGGCCCTCAGGAGTTTCTAAAGTTAAGTGACATACAGGCATGTGGACAAATGCACACACTCCGATGTCACAGGAATCACAGTGGCCTGGCCTTGTCTCTGGAACACGCTCAGGCTCTGACTGCAGGAGCACAGGGCAGTGAGTCTCCCAGCCCAGACAGGCCTCCTTACGACGGCTGAGCGGTGGGCTCTGTGAACCTGACCTTGTTTTAAATCCCATATGCAAGGGGAGGGACAGAAAGAAGAACCTAAAACATTGATGACTAGAAAAATATAAAAAGGCCCAACAGGGAAGTAGGCTATTCTTTTATCACTGACTTCTTATACATAAGTCACATATCACTATCAAGAAATAAATTATATTTATAATTTTAAAGTAATTTCCATTTTATAAAAGATAAACTTGGGATTATATAACTACACATACCCTCGCCAACTGCAGTCGACATCATTTACTTGAAGCAAACAATCTTCTCCCATCCCACAGGCTGAGCGCAAGGCTGGGTACACAGCACGCCACCAGTAATTACTTGCTGGTTTGGTGGTTGAGCCACAAGAGCTGAAGAAACATCTCACATAATGCTTGGAAAATGCAGGAAAGCCCAGAAAACCTCCAGAGATAGAACTTGTCAGCTTCCAGGTTAGGAAATGACCAATGCTTTAACCATCAAAGGAGACCACTGTCCTCCAAGAGACAGTCAGCACTTCAGCATTAAGCACCAGCACTTCAAGGCAGCCGAAGATGGCTACCTCCCTGCACAGCCCAATCACGGTCTGTATCTAGGTTTTATCTATAGGTGTTTTAGCCTCAGAAGGGCTCTGTGGACCAAAAAAATTGGAAATCATACAAACAATTATTTTTTAATGGAGAGCTTCTCAGAGGTTTTAATGTTTTCTCACAAGAGGATATATTATGCACTGTTTCTCAAATTTATCTGAATAAAGGACCTATTTTAATTTTCAGAGTCTCTGGCAGGACTAGAATTCTACACTTTGGGAAATCCTGTCCTAGAATATCTATGCACTCATTGAACGGAGAAACTAGTTTGTGTGAATCAATAGATAAAAATTTAACACCAGTTTGGAGTAAAAGAATTTTGTTGAACTGGTTCGATTACTTTGGAAAGCTTTTCAGTGTTATCACTAAAGCTGACCATATATGTACCCTATGATATAGCAACTCCACTCCTAGGTAGAACACGCAACAATGTGTATGTACCTAGAGACACCAAAAAATGTTCAAGCAAGTTCCTAACAGCACACTATTTATGACAGCCCCAACCTGGAAACCACCCACAGTAGAAGAGAGAAATAAACTTACAGAATATCACATTATACAAAATGAAAACGAATAAACTACTACCTTGCATGACATCATGGAGAATCTCTCAAACAAAATGTTGAGCTAAAGAAACCAGATACATAAGGAAGAGACATTATGATTCCATTTACGCAAAGCTGAGAAGCAGGTAACAGGAACCTAGGGTGTTGGAATTGAGGACACTGGGAACCTTCGGAGAGGGAGGGGATATAATGGGGAGAGGCTGGAGGGGACTTTCTGGAGTGCTGGCCATGTTCTAGTTCTTCACCTAAACAGTGTGTTTACTCCGATAATTCATGTTCTAACTTGTGCACGTTTCTTTTTGTTATACTTCCACAGAAACATGCAAAAAGCTTGGCGATGCAATCAGTCATTCTGCATATCTGGTTACGGTGTGCAGTCAGTGTTGGCAGGTGTCCACACGACATGCCAGCCCTTGGGTGTCCCAGTTGTGATAAGAGCACCAACAGGTGCTGCCACACACTAACTCATGTAATCTTTGAGAGAGCCCACAAATTAAGACACTTTTAAAACAGTTACTGTTTGCATTTAATAGATAAGAAAACTAAGGCTTGGGGAGAGTCCATAGCTAGCCTAAAACCGCAGATTTGTAAGTGGTGGAGACAAAAATCAAACAGGACTCCAACATTCATGTTCCTGGCCACGACCTTCCTATCCTAGAGAGTCGCTGCACGCATGCCTCTTGACCAGAGCTGCTCTGGGGGGGCTTTAATGTCTCGCAATCATTGAATCTTGATAAAAATAGTAAAAGCATCACAGCCTTACTGTCTTCAAACAGAGACTCAACATCTCTTAAAACCTGAACTATGAAGTATTAACAGTACAGCTAATAATTAATCATGCATGCAGATATAGACCTTTTTATTTTTGTATTAAAAACATGCTGGGCTCTAGGAAATAATTTTTTTTGGGGGGGGGGGGCAACATGGAGGAATCAGTAAAACTGCAAAGACTCCAGAGAAACAAAGAATTACTGCAATGGTACAATTATTTTTAAGCAAAAATAACCTGAAATCCTTTCCTGGGATGCAAAAATGTTATTTTCTGCAAAGGGAAAGCAAATTTAATTATTTTAAAAATATGTAAAAGTTTTCTACTTGCAAATATAATGTGTATGTTCATTAGAGAAAATTTTGTGAATGCAAAAGAGAAAAAAAGCACAAAGATAATAAAAGCTTAACGGTAACACTGTTGTTAATATTTTTAATGACGGTCTATCAGGTCTGTCACCCCACAGCAATACAGAGCCTCCATCTCATCTGCGGGCACGGCCTCCTCCCATGCCTATTTCAGCCACAATGGCTTCCTTTCTGATCCCTGAATATGTCAAACACTTTCCCCGCCCTTGGGGAGGCTGCAGTTGTTCTCCCTCTAACTCAAAAGCTGGTTCTTGGGAAAGCTGGCTCTCTCTCATGCTGCAGGTCTCAGCAAAGTATCATTTAAGCAAGTCTTCCCCTGACCTCTTATCTCAAGTTATTCCCCTTACTTTCTATCCCATTGTTCATTATTCTGCAGCATTTCACCTGGAATTTTCTGTCTATCTGTTTATTGTCTGTTCCCTTCAAAAGGATGTGAGGTTCCTGAGTGGTAAACCTTACCCACCTTGTTCGCTGACGTATCTCTGGTGCCTAGCACACAGTAGGTGCTTGTTGGATACTGGAATACTGTGAATACGGTCTGGTAAAGTGCTTCTAGCCACTTAATAGATTGAGGAAATATTCCCAAGAATAAATTGAATCCAAAAGTAAACTCCCAAATTTCTGTTAGATCATGCTTACTTTTCTTCAGCTATCTTTGGATACAAAGCTTTATTCTTATAGGCTAACTGATTATGACCATGTACATTTTAAAAGGAAAACAACAAAAATTAAATTTCAATGAAAATCAAGCATGCTAGATTCAGGGTCATCCAAGGAGGAAACATGTGCTATTAAAGATAATTACTAAACTACTGGCAATTGCTCGCATTCCAACATTTCTTCTACATAAAAAACAATACAAAAAAGGCAGTGGAAATTCTAAATGCCTACAAAAGGTCCTGTGGGTATTGAGTTTAATATGAATCATAATTACACACATTAATCATGTGCTATTCCTTGTAAAGGCAGGGACCACACATCAATACCCATTCTTGAGGAAAATTTCCATACTAGTACTCTCAAACTGAGCGCATTAATTCATAAACAAGGCAATATAGAAAACTCTACCATTCTGATCCCCCCTGATACTAGAAGGAAACACAACCAGTGACGTCTGACCACGACTCGTCTCTTCCTCTTCCTTCTTTAACCCAGTGGTTCTCAAGCTTTGCTGCATATTATAATCTCCTGCAGAACTTGAAGAAAAGCTCTGGACACAAAGATGCACCCAGGACCAACTGAATCAGGTTTCAGAGGGTGTGAGGCCCAGGGAGCAGTATTTGTAAAGCTTCCTAGGTGACTCCAACGGGCTGCTGTAGACCCTTCAACTGCAGTGCAAGGCACCACCAGGGAGCCTGTCAGAAACACAGAACCTCAGGCTCAGCCCCAACCGCCTGGATCAGAACTTACATTTTATGAAATAACATATTAAACAGTTAGAATGTGGATGGCACCCAATAAGAACTAAAGAGATGCTACTGCTATTATTGGGTTGTCGGAAAAGTCATGACATATTTTTTTCTACGTTTTTCGTTGCAAAAATGCATCATGACTTTTCCGACAACCCAATACTATTAAAGTCCATACTATATGCTCCATCCAACTGACTCTTACTTGCCCATATTCGTTCCCTTTACAAACCCCGCTGCCAGCCCCCAATGTTTCTTACATGAGAGCATACGCGCTACAGCACACTTATGCAGGCAAATAAATAAATCCTCATCGTTCCACCTTCTCCCTCCAAATCAATCTGCCTTCTTTTAGAGGCCGAGTATTGTGTTTCCTCCAGGATCTTAAAATTCCTAACGCTATGCTCCCTGCTCATAGGAGCCCACACAACCACCAGCAGCAGTGCCCAGTGCCAAATGTGGACTTTTTGGGTGCTTCCTCCACACACATGTTCCCCTCCTGCCCCACAGTCTTCCCATAACTGAATCACATTATTTTTGGCGCATGATTTGCAATGTCCAAAGTCCTGTTAACAGGTACTTCCAGCCACCGGAGGAAGGCTACAAAACACATTAGCCTTTTCAAACTGAGGTGTGAGTGGTATCAAGCTACTTTAAGGGCTGTGTACGTTTGATAAGGCTTACATATTTCTTCTTACTTTGAAGCACACAGCTGAATGTGTAATAGAGAATAAAATTTTATTTATTGAATGAACTACAACTGCTATAATTGCCTAATTTGATAATGCTTAAAAATAAGATATGCTTTACTCTGTCAGGGCAAACAAAGGTTTGCACTAAAAACAACTTGCTTTCTACTTCATTTCTTCATACTCCCCTCTCTCCATATTTCAGCAATAGCCCCAGCTTGGTCCTGGTACTGTAATAAGCACTTTGCATACTTCCATTTGTTTCAAGATTAAAACCACTTTATGAGGTAGCCTCATTATAATGACAATTATCTGCCAGCAAAGGAGACAGGTTTGAAAACCTGCTCCTTAGTCAGGGTCACAGGCAGCACAGCAGAGCTGGGAACCCAGGTGTCCTCACCCCCTGGGTGGGGGGAACCACCGCACTGTAATACACCCTTCCTAGCTTGTTTCTATCCTGCTGGCCTGGCATTTTCATCCTTTCCTCCATGTAGGGCAGCACCTCTTGATCTTCTTCATGGATGAAAAGTTGTCAAAGCCAAACCAGAATCTTCAAAAAGGGGGAAATCCTAAATGCAAGCGTGGTTCAATTTCCGAGCAGATCCTGCTCAGCAACTCCTAATTTTCATCCAGACGGTTTTCAACTAGTCTCCCCTTCCAAGTACACGTTTCAGGAATAAAGGAATTGCTGAGGAGAATGTTAATGAATTTCTATTCCGAATAACCCTGAATAAATGGCTGAGCTTCTGCAAACATCAGTGAGCACTTAGACACAAAAGCAATGACCACCACGAGCCCACAGGACTCACTCAGATCATTTCATCTGACTAACCTCATCCCCATGTTCAGTAGGGTTCCTCGGTCAGATCAGGGGAGCCTTAGATAACACAAGAACTAAATGTCACTGAAGAGGACGGGACACTGAAAGGTCCTCCCAAACAAAATGGAAAAATGTGAGTCTAAGGACAGTGCCTAGATGATTTCGAAATTGGCTCATCCATCACAGCCGGTGTATTTTTCATGTAGTCGTTTGTTCAACACACATTTCCTGGGCTCGTGCTGGCCTGGGAGAATACAGTGTTGACCAACACAGCTCTGGGCCTGCTCTCCACTTAGGCTCTAAGGTTGTCAGGGCATCTGTGCCAACCTGAGAGAAAGTCTCTAGGGTTTGATCACAGGCCTATCTTTAGCCTTTTCCTGTTTAACATATCAAAGACAAATGAATGTAGGCTTATTCAACTTTGCAGAGGAGAAAAAGCAGGAATAAAACCCCAGCAAATTCATTAGAAGATGTAATCTAAAAAGGTTTCAACAGGTTGGAACAGGGACAGAGCAAGATGAAATCCAATGGGAACAAATTTACTGTCCGCTATCAGAGTTCAAAAAACCAACCGCACAAGGGCAGGATGGGGGATCGTTTTAAACAGCAGCCTGAGGTAAAAAGACCTAAGATTTTAGTTGCGTAGGAGTTCAATAGGAAGGAAGGCGGTGATGTAAAGGAATAACTGGAGAATCAGGAGACAAGGATTTTGGTTCTAACAGCTGGGGAGGTGGGTGGCAAATCATTGAATTTGGAGAGTTGCTTTTCTCATCAGGACCCTAGGGGATTGGGCCAGGACACCTCTCAGGCCCCGTCCAGCAACACCAGTGCAGATTATGTCATTTCTGCACACTGCTGTGAGTCCCCAGCATCTAGCACAGTGCTGGCACCCATGAGTGAATGATAGTGCTAACAGAACTACAAGTTAATAGTATAACGTGTCCC